GGGCCCGGGGCGGCGAGGGCGCGACGAGGGCCGGGAGCTCCTCGGCCAGCCCAGGGGGCCGCGCCGACGTGTCGCTGGGTGTCCGTTTCCTCTTGCTCGGGCTGGGTGCAGGCTCGGGGCCTGGGGTCGATGGTGAGGGCGAATGGGTAGCGGTAGCGGCGCCGTGCTTGCCGTGGATCCAAGACACCTTGGGCTTGGTAGCGGGGTCGGGTGGCGGCGGCTTCCTGCGTTCAGGCGATGGCGACAACGACAAACCCCCAGCCTCACCCCGGGCCCGGACCGGCCGGACCTCCCGCCGAGCCACGCGTGCGTACAACGCCCCGCCGGGTCCCTCCACGCTGGACGCCGACCTCTCGCTGTCAGAGGACGCTGAGAGCGGAGGTGCCTCCTCTGCGGACGCTGGCGTGGTTAAGGGCGCCGGGGAAGGCGCTGGGGCCTCCGCACAAGCAGAGGGAGCCTCTGGGTCCCGGTTCTCTGCAGCCGCCTCTGACAAGCAAAGAGTCAGCTGGTCACCAACCGCGAGAACAGCTCTAGAAGGTCCAACCTCCCGGCGCAAACCCTCACTTTTCTTTTTCCTCTACCTGGGCCCAGCCTGTCGCAGTTGCCCAGGGCACATTCATGGCACCATCTATAACTTAGCACCCCTAGGTGTGTGGCTGACAGCTGGGGAGTGAGGGGCACGTTTTTTAGGGCCGAAGTCTAGCCTTGCCTGACCATTCTCCACCACACCCTCAGGTGCCACCATCATCAAGTCTGACCCTGCAACATTCCCCAGTCGGACTCCATTAGCCTTTAAGAAGCAAGGAAAAAAACAAAAGGAGGTCAGCATCCCAACCAGTCAGGCTCCTTCCTGTTTGTGGGCCCAAGGCTGCCGGCCAAGGTGCGCCTTCATACCCTCTGGATCCCCCTCTTGTTGCCTCTGCCACTTTCTATCCAGGCCCACAAACTTCTCTGCCCTGTTTCATCTAGAAGTGCAGATGGCCAGTGACTAGTGACAGGAGACTCCACCCATTTCCCCACACCACCCAGCCCAGCACAGGACAGCTGTGCTAAGTCCAGCTCTGCAGCCACTGTGTGACTAACATCCATGTAACCGCGTCACCACGGTCTTACTTCCCATGCTTTGTGCGCCCGCCTCTAGCACAGGTCTCATGGGACATTTCACTGGACTGCAGGCTTGCCCAAGCCAGGTCTTACTCACCCTCGTGGGGGATGCAGTACACAGGGCCTTCATCTGTGGTGTCAAAGGAGGAGAAAGAGGCCCGGGAGGACCAAGATGGTGAGGGCTGCTCCAGCCCTGAGGGTGGTTCCAGGAAGCTGCAGTTGAGTGTGTTGTCCAGGTCGTGATGAGCCACTGGAGGAGGAGTGAACCAGGGTCCCTGCCTTGCCCCAGCCTCTGCCCTCACTGGCCAAATGTACAGGGAGTGATTAAGACCAGCCTTACCCAACAACTAGGTGGGACAAGAAAGTCAACAGGTAGAGTGACACTAGACCAGGTCTGGAGAATACATAGCAGTGAACCCAATAAAGATAGAGGGTTAGGTGCAAGTGTGCGCAGCCAGAGCTGAAAAAAGATTGGGCTGAAGGGTTAAGGAAATGTCAGAAAGAGATGCCTAGAGAGGACACTTGGCCGGACAGGCCAGCAGGATCTCCACACCATCTTTCAGATCATGCCTTGTGGGGCTTGGGGAGCCTTGGAGCACTTTGGAGCCCAACTGTACAGTGGTAAGACTGCCCTTTGGCTCAGCCCATCTCCACAGCCTGCACCCTGCACCCTGGCCTGGCCTCCAGGGATTCCAGAGCTGGGTGTTTGGCTTTCACTCCACAGATGGGACACAGGGTCCAGCCCCCACACCTGTGTATGTCTACAAATGCCATGCTGCTGGGTGGACCAAAGGGTTTTCTGGGTTGTCTCCTTTTTCTCCCAAGTCTGACCTCTTTACCCTCACTCAGTCTTCAAAAACAAGTAGAAAAGAGAGGGAGACAGACTTCATTCTGTTTGGGTGTCAGCACACACAGTAGTAATACTGCCCCCACCGCAGGGGTCCTTGGGCAAGGGGTGAGGAACGGGCCTGCCAGTTTCCAGGAAGGGGTCAGGGCACTGCCAGGGATCCAAGCAAGAGGGTGGTTTTCCCCTTGGGGCCAGAGTACTCCCTCACACATGTGCCCAAGCGTTCCCCTGCAACTTTGCACCAGGATGTACGGAACAGACTTACAGCCTGGGGCCCTCGAGCCCCAAACTTCACCTACAGAAACCCAGCGAAATCACTCAGGACTCAAACCTCCCACCCGCACGCCTAGGGCTCCGGGCTTCCTCCCTAGCCCCACCCATAGCAACATCCCCCATCCTTCCCTCCGGTCGCACCTCCCCACGCCCACGCGCATCAAACCTCAAAATTCTCCCGTTTCTACACGAAGCCCTGGGCTCCTACACACCCTTTTCCCAAAAGCCTTCTGCGCCGGTGGGTGTTTCACCCAGTGACCCCCACGAGCTCCATCTTACCTACGACTTTGGGTAACTTCTGCCTGCGCAGCGGGATCCGGGGCAGCTTCATGCTGATGCGGCTGAAGCGCCCGCACAGGCGTTGCGGAGCCTTCTTCCTTCCCAGCGAGAGCTCCCTGCGGGGGCAGGGCCTGAGCGAGGGGGCGGGGCGCGCACAGGGCCTGGGGGCGGTTGGAGCTCGGCGGGACCCCAAACACTGTGAAGGAGCGGGGCCCTGCCCAGGGGCAGGCGGGGCCTGGGCCGCGAGAGCGTGCATCCTGGACCACGCGGAGAACCCGGAGAACCGGAGCGGTGTCGGGCCTCACCGGCGGATGGGGTCCTTGCCGCGGCAGGCGCAGCAGCAGCCGAGCAGCGAGAGCAGCAGGCCGAGGAGCAGGGCCAGCAGCGCGCCCGCGCCCATCACGCCCTTGCGCTGGTTGGTCTCTGCGGGGGAGGGCGCAACCAGCTCAGCGCACGTGCCCACGCCTCCTGCATTCCCTAAACCCACGTTCTCTCCCACTCACCTAGGTGGCAGGCGCCGGTGACCGGGTCGCAGGAGTCCTCGTGGCAGCTGCAGGTCTGGGCGCAGTCCGCGCCGTGGTGCCCGGGCGGGCACGTCATGTTGCAGCTGCGGGGACACGGGGGTCAGCGCGGGCCACCGCAGCCCCTCCCCATGTCGCCTTCCCTGGCTCCCGCTACCCAGCTCTGTTCTCTAGGGACCGAAGCCCACCCCCACGTGCGGGCCGGCACCCGCTGAGCGATCACTGTGCTCTGCACCAGCTCTGGGTCACCTCAGGAGCCCAGTGACCACAGGCTGAGTAAGTCGTCAGATCGAGGTCCGTGCACGGCCTCCAAATGCCTGTGATCAATCTCTAGCTGGAGTAAGGGACCAAGGCTGAGGTGACAGCCCAGCCCTGGGTGCCGCCTTGTCGGACCCCGAGGTCTGGCTGGAGCCCTTGGCTTTTGGTGTAAATCCCATGTCCCTTTTTGAGACTCAGGAAACTCACTGGGGTCCGTGGACACCAGGGTTACAAAGGCAGCGCCCCGACTGGAAGTCACAGCGGCCGTCAGCGCAGTCCGCGCACAGGTAGGCGCAGTCATCCCCGTAAGTGCCGTTGCTGCACTTGGTCTCGCACCTTGGAACAAGGGGAGGAGGCGTCAGCAGAAGGGGCGGCAAACAGACTCAAACCCGCAGACCCCTCCGCAAAGTCCTGGGGGCTGCGCCTGTGGGCCGAGGCTGGCACCCGCCGCTCACCGGTCGCCGATCCAGCCCGCGTTGCAGCGAGTGCACTTCCCGGTGACGTGGTTGCAGGCGTGCCCGTCGCGGCAGGGCGGGCAGCGGTGGCCACAGCCCTCGCCGTAGAAGCCGGTGGCACATGGCTGGTCGCATTTGGTTCCGTTCCATCCGGGCTCGCACGTCAGGCAGCGGCCCTCGGCTACAGTGCATGGCTGCTGGCCCTTGCACTGGCCGCACCTAGGGAGCGGTCAGGAAGCAAGATGGGACCCGGCCGTGCCTCGCCCCGCCCCCACGGGTGGCCGCCCTTCCCCCTCCTCCTCCCCGGAGACCCTGAGCTTACCGGCGGCGACAGCCCAGGCCATAGAAGCCGGCAGGACAAGGCTCGCGACAGTACTTGCCGCGGTAGCCCGGCTCGCAGGCGCACGTGCCGTCCACGGGGTGGCAGCGGCCTCGGAAGCACTGGCAGTAACGATCGCAGCGCGCGCCAAACGTGCGCTCGCGGCACTGGCAGCGGCCGCTCTGCTGCTCGCAGGGCGACGAGTTGCAGGCGCACTGATTGTTGCAACTGCGGCCCCACCAGCCCGCGTGGCACAGGCAGGCGCCCGTTTGCGGGTCGCAGCGCGACGTGGCGCTGCAGTAGCATGCTCTAGCACACTGTGCGCCCCACCAGCCGGGCTCGCAGCGGCAGGTGCCGCTCCGCGGGTGGCACGTGCCATGCTGGCACTGGCACGCATGCTCGCAGCGTTCGCCCCAGCGCTGCGCGTGGCACGTACATTGGCCCGTCACGTCCTCACACTGCCCGTGCGGGTGGCAGATACACCGCTCCTTGCAGTCGGGGCCCCAGAACTGGCGCGGGCACTCTGCAGGGAGGAGGGGGTGGGACGCTCCGTTGTCTGCGTGGGCAGCGTCCCGCACCCCGTCTCCCGCCGCAGGGTACCGGCCGTCCAAGGTCATCCCGTCGCGGGATCAGGCCTCGCCCCACCCCCAGCCCTCTCCCTTACTCTCCACTTTCCCCGCCCCATGCCCAGCATCGGCCCCGCCCCGAGCTCACTAGTGTCGCAGTTGGCACCGAAGTAGCCGTGGCGGCAGCGGCACTCGCCGGGCCGCACGCACACCTCGTTCTCTGAGCACGTGGAGTTGCCTTCGCACACCGCTGAGGACAAGACGGATGGGGTCGTGCTGCCGAGGGTGCTTTCTTCCCCACCCACCCCGCTCCGACCCCTGGGGCACCCTACTCACCGATCCCACACTCGTCCCCCTGCTGTCTCCAGCCAGCGCAGCACGTAGGCACTTGGGAGCTGAGAGCAGAGGGGAGGATGGTAGAGCCTGACACCCGCCTTCCCTGCCCTTCCCAAGGGTCAGCCTGCACCGCGCTGGGCGCTCCCATTCACTGGGCTCTGCTATACCTCCCTGAGCTATCCCCTGGGGAGGTGATCAGGTACTGCAGCCCTGCCCGGGGTGCGGGAGACTCCCGAGGTGCAATGGAAAGTCACAAGTTCCAGCTCTCAGCAGTGGGCACCAGCAGGAACAGGGGGCACACCGGAAACAATTCACCTCCAAGAACTTCCCGGCCCTCCCATCCCACCTACTCCCTGGTGCCCTCCTCCCCAGCCACTAGGCCCGTAAAAAGGGGCCCTGGGAGTTCCTGGAGGAGCAGCAATGACTTGGGGAGTAAGGAGAGGCCCCTGGGCTTTGAGCACCTGCTGAAACAGAGGTCTAGGGCATCTCTCAGGATGAGGGACGTGGCCAGATGGTCAGTCCAGCTGACTATGGACTGAAATCTCTACAAACTGTGAGCTAAAATAAACCTTTTCTCTTTTTTATTTTAAACCTTTCCTCTTTTAACTCATGGGTGTTGAGTGTTTTGTCCCAGCAATGAGAAAGTACCTAAGACACTGCAGATGTTCCTAGAGTCCCATTAGACTTAAAAGAATGTTCCACAGGAATATAGCAGCCATTCACACTTTAGAGAAAAGGAGTATGTGTCTTCAGGAGTGTTCAAATCTAAAACCAGGATGTGGTGGTGGGAAGAGTTGAGAGGGATCCTGAAGACCCTGGTGGGGTGGGACAGACTGAAAGGAAAAATGGCAACTGGCCTATGCCATGCTCTGCACGCTCCTGCCCAGGCTGCAGAAGATGCTTCCAACCATTCTCCAGCCCAAGATAAAGGCTGCACCCTGGATAGGGCTCTGAGGCACCAGGGGAGCACCTTTCCCACTGCAAGAGCTTGGTTCTCTATCAGGCCAGTTAGGACCTGAGGGGAGAGAGCCATAAAATCTCAAACAGGGGGGAATAGGCCCAGTGTATTTTCCACAAATAAAACTGGAAACCATAGATAGGAATATAAAACAGGACTAGATTGTCCTCTTCCCATTTTCTCCATTCATCCAGCCCAACCTAGGGGCTCCAAGGAACCCACGTGCAGGAAGACCTGATTCCATCAGCCCATCACCTTCCCCTCACGCCCTGGTCTCTGGATGGAGATTTTACCCAAATATCCTTCCTACAAGCAGGTGGCCTGCTGGGGTGGCCCCTGAAATGCTGGCCACCCTCTGCCCAGGGCAGCTTAGTATGTGGCGCTGTGGCTAGAAGGCTGATTTTAGGGCCACACTCAACTGGGTATGGGGCGTAGGCCTGCCACTGCGGGATGACCTCAGGCATGGAGTTTTGCCTCTCCCAGCTGCAGGCTCCCTAGCTGTAGAACAGGGCCCATGCATTTGCAAGGCTTAAGACAGCCAAGATATGTGCAGTGTTTAGTGCGTACTAAGGGCTCCACTGCAGCTGTGGTTTACATTACTGTTTGCTCTCCAGTCCATGCTCAGAATTCAGGAAGCCTGAGTCCCATTTGTCCTTACCCCGCACACAGTGGGCACCCACGTCTCATCACAGCAGAGCTAACAGCCACCAGCAGGACACAGAGCATTTGGATTCACAAAGAACAAGTCTTTCCTTCCACAAACGGCTAGCAAACCACAAACTCGAGATCTTACGAAGGTGGGACAGCAAAGATGGCTGGGGGTTGCAGGTCCCACACTTACCTTGGAGAGCTAGGCCACAGCCACAAGCTCAACATGCTGTTCCTAGAGGATTTATTATTATTATTATTATTATTATTATTATTATTATTATTATTATTATTATTTTACCTGAGACAGAGTCTTGCTAAAATGCTAAGTTGTCCAGGCTGGGTTTGACCTGGCCAGATCAGTCTGCCTCAGCCTCCCAGAATGCTGGGGATTATAGGCTGTTGCCATCATGCCTGGCTCCCCCTAAAGCTCTTAATATCGCTGTGATGAAAACTTGCTGTGATTTCTTAGACCCCACCCTTGTTGTACCTGTGACTGACACTGACCTGTTCTCTCTCAAATCCATCAAAAAGAAACTTCTCTTCATGCCATGGCCCCACTTGTGACCTTACACTGCTTGGCTCTCCTCCTGCCCCATCCTCCATTTCTCCTCTCCTCTGTTCTGTCTACACTGGATCCTTCAAGAAGCTCACCAGGCCCCATCAGCTCACTCACAATGCCTTGGAGGCCTCCAGCGGGCACCTCTCCCTCAGTGGCAGACTTACAAATCCAACTGCCCCCAGGACAATGTCACCACAGGGACAACTCATGGGGGTCTCATACTCAACTTACTAAAACTGACCTCCTCGGGACCCCAGGCCTTCTCCATCTCAGGTCACTCCCTCTCCTTTCATGACCTACGAGGCATCAGACGCCTCTTACACCCACAACCTGCTTTCTCCTCCAAACTACATCTAGAGTGGAGCCAAGTCTCCCTTGCCCCGCACCAGCCTCCAGAGAGCCACCTTTCACCTCCAGGGCGCCTCCTGACTTCTCAGTCGCCTCCCAGCACATCTGCCACCTGGCAGCCAACCCGGGTCAGATCCCAACCTTCCTCAGCCCAAAAACCCCTGGTTCCAACTGCCTCAGACAAGAAACCCGAGGCCTCACAACAGTGAGCAGCCCCCTGGTGGCCTGCCCAGCCTCACTCCCAGTTCTCCTCCCCCTCTGCCCTCCTGGGCTCTGCACAACCCAAGGCTGTTCCTTATGCTTCCGCGTGCCCTCTGGATTTGGAGCCTTGTCCCTGATGCCCACGTGGTTCCCTCTTCCTGTCCTGCAGGCCTGGGCTCACTCACCACCCTCTCAGTGGGTCTCTCTAGATTGCCCTAAAGCATCCCCTACTCAGTGCCTTCCTGCTCCCTCCCTCTCAGGGCCGGGGATCAAACCTAGGGTCTCACGAATGCTGGGCATATACTCTACCACTGAGCTGTACTACCAGCTCCCCGCGCCCAGGTTTTGCTAGATGTCTAGACTCACTGCTTTGCCTTCGGGGGTGTAAGTCTCCCCCCACCACAGGCACAAGGGTAGCACAGGGGCACTGGTCTCCACTGCTGTGTCCTTGCCCTGACACAGGCCTGGCACACAGGAGGCGCATAGGATTTTACCAGGTGAGCGTACACTCCTCTCTCCTGGACCTCTTCTGAGGATAACAAGGGCAATGGTCCAGACTCCATGTGGGAGGTGTCCGGGTGACTCTCCTTCCCCTAACCAGGTCGTCACAGTAACCTCTCCTAAAGCCCACCAACTCCACTGTACTGAAATGGAGACGGGCCCAGAACAGTTAAGGATTTGCTGAGGTTCACACAGCTGGGCAGGGGTGGCATCGGAATCTGAACGAAAACTCCGGCTCTTGGTTACAGAAACAGTCGGACTCCTGAGGAGGGCTCCCTGCTAGAGGCCTGGGCTCCAAAGGCTCTCCTGCTCCAGCTCCCGACAGCTCCATCCTGCCACCGGATCTGCATCCCTGGACCGGGCCCCGTTAGGGGAGGCGGACTGCGCCGGGCAGACAGCGCAGGACGGCGACCGAGCCCTCCCCCTCTCCAGGCACGGCCCGCCCGCCCCTGCCGCCGCTGCATTCCTGGGGCGGCCCGAGAGGCTGCAGTGGCGGCGGCGGCGGCGTCGATGCGAAGCAGATGGCGGGCTGGGCCGGGCCTCGCCGGGAGGCGGGGCTCGCAGCGGGGAGGGGTCTGCGCGCTCCGGACCCGAGTTCGGAAACCCAGCGCAGCTGCCTGGTTGCCCCCTGGTTACCCCCGACGGCCTGGACTCAGCCTTCTTCCATCCTACAGCCAGAGGCCCCCCAGGGGACCAGCCCGGAGTCCCATGGCTGCCTCTCCAGCTGCCGGCGATACGGCGTCCTCACCCCCCAGTACAGCCAAGACGTCCCCACAGGCCAGCTCCTCGCCGCGCGCAGAGGTGCCCTTGACCTCGCTGTGGCCTCAGACCCGACAACTGCAGCGTCCCTTGACTCCCGCGCCCACTCCTCACGTCCTATCCTAGGTTCTTCGTCCTCTGAGCAAGCTCCAGGGTCCGCTGCCCTGCCGCCAGGCCTGTCCCCTACCTGTCCTACACCAACTTCCCCAGCCAGATCCCCGTGGTGCCCCACTTCTACACTTGCTCTTAGCCAAAAGGCCGAGAAGCGATGCGCCCCACTTCTGCGCTGCTCCTCCATGCACTCAGTATCGCCCCCCTCCCCGCAAGGCGCCAAGAGCCCACACATCCTCCGATCCCCGCGCCGTCATTGTCCTTTCCACTCTGGTTTCTGGTCCACTCTGAGCGCGGGCTCCTTGAAGCTCTCACATTGGTCACCATCCTCCCTCCACCACCGCTCTTTCTAAAACAAATCCGACTTTCCAAGTTTCGCCCGCCTGAAGACCTCCCCGGCTCCTGTCTCTTCTTCCCTTGGACCCTCCTCCACACCCACTCTCCAGCCCAAGCTACTGGTGCTCCGGGCCTTTGCATATGCCGTTCCTTCTGCTTGAAAGGCCCTTCCACAGCTTCTCACTACCGCCTCCACAGTCCAATCCAAGGGCCCCTTGTACAGGTCGTTCCTTAAGTCCCGGACAGCATGTGTCACACACACCCTCACAGTCACTCCGTTATCCCCCTAGGTGACTTCTAGTCCAGGGTATCCTCTGATGCACCTTCGTGGCCAGGGACCCACATCGACCTGGAAAGGAGCCGGCGTCGGCGAGGGCGGCCAAAGGGCCCCCTTGATTTAGCCTAGGGAGGTCCCGGGAGCCCCCAGCTGTGCCGGGCGTCGCCACCTCCTGTCCCCCGAGCGGCCCGCTAGCTCAGTCCCCTCCCCCCGCCAGGCCCGGCTCCTACCCCGGCGCGCGGCACACGTTTCGGCCGCGCGGGTTCAGCTCCTGGGGCGCCGCGGGGCCGGGCAGCAGCCAGAGTAGCAGGAGTAGCCAGAGCGGC